TTAGGGGTGGGGACCGGTATAGTGGAGGCGTTTACCGTAAGAACGTCTATGCCTCAGAGGAATGAGTGGTTTTATAATGGTTGCTTGACTGAGAAGGGATGAAAGAGTTGATGGTAGGATGCAATGACGAGAGAGAATGAATGAAACTAATAAGAAAATGGCAGTGAAGGAAAATAGATGAATGAAGGTCGGCAATGTGTGAAATAAATGAAATTGGGATGTCGATGGGAAAGAAAATGAAAGAAGGAAAATGGAGGAATGAATGAATATGGGCTGAAAGAGAACGGAAGAATGAAGACGAAGATAGAATGAAGGAAAATGAATGAAGATAGAATGAAGGAAAATGAATGAAGATAGAATGAAGGAAAATGAATGAAGATAGAATGAAGGAAAATGAAAAAAAATGGAAGAATGATTAAAGACTGAATGAAGGAAAATGGAGGAATGAATGAAGACGGAATGAACTTTTCAGCCCGCCCTCCTACCTAGAAAGAAACAATGCAGTTATTAATAAGAAGAATTGAAATTAATGCATGGAAGATTTCACAGCTCTAGCGTCACTCCTTCATAGTCAGCCTATGAACTTTCCAGCTCACCCTCTTTCCTAGAAAGAAGCAATGCAGTTAGTAATAAGACGAATTGAAATTAATGCATGCAAGATATCACAGGTCTAGCATCACTCCTTCATTGTCAGCCTATGAACTTTTCAGCCCACCCTCGGACCAGGAAAGAAACAATGCAGTTATTAATAAGAGTTGAAATTAATTCCTGCAATATTACACAGTTCTATTTTCACTTCTTCATAGTCAGCCTATGGACTTTTCAGCCTTTATAGAGGCCAGAGAATATCTATGACAATTTATCTCACTTCGTAGGCCGTGTATTTGGCTAGTAACTAAAAAAAAAAAAATGTGCATAAAAATAATTCACTGAAATATCTAATTGGTAATTAAAGAAAGAACTGGTAATTAAAACTGGTAATCGTGACATACCAGTTTGGAGAACTCTGGTGTCGGCTTTATAAAAAAAAAAAAAAAAAAATATTTAAAAAATGTGTCCATCATAGTAACCTCAGATTTCCAAACTTTTTTTTTGCCTTGGCGACACACATCTTAAAAATAATATTTTCACGATACACGACTTCAGCTTCGTGAGCCATGCCAAATATATAATTAAAACCTGTATCTAAAAAGAAATAATTAACTGAAAAATTAATTAATAATTAAAGGAATGAGGGAAAGTTAATTAAAATTAAGTGTCGTAACACACCGGATTTGGAAACTTGGATCTATAGTTGGCAATATCAGAATGCGTTAATCGCCTGAGCTAGAACTCTCCGACGTTTCTGTTGGCGACACACATCTTAAGAATATTTTCATAACGCAATATAGTGAGTCCCCGCTTATTCGCGTTTCAGCATTCGCGGTTTCACACATTCGCGGATTTTTCTTTAGAACATATGTACTTGTTATTCGTGGAAACCCCGAATATTCCCGTGTTTTTCTGAAGAAAAAAAAATGTACAAATTATTCGCCGAGAACTTCCTCGTCGATTCGCGTATTTTTTTTCGATAGAACATATTTAAAATATTCTTGTGGTATTTTCCTAAGTGACTTGAAACATATAACAATCCATTTTCATGGTAAAAGTTGGCGGAATTGTTCATCTTCATTGTAAAAAAAAAACAAACGCAAAACATCCGTCGTGCTTTGTCAGGGGCTACGGCTGGACTTTTGAATGAGCTATGGACCATTCAAATCGGACCAGTAGCTTGGACACACACACACACACACCGTACTTTATATATAGGATGACATTATTATTATTATTATTATTATCATTAAAAGCGTGACACACTGATATTGGCATTTATTATATAGATGCCATTATTATTATTAACAGACTAAATGAAAAGTGGCTTATGCTAAGTCTGGGGGTATCATCACAGTTCTGTTTTTAGAAAATGTTTTAAACTTTATATTTTATGCCTTGTTACACATATTTTATACAATATTTTCAATGGTTGTATCGATCTATGCGTAATTAAAAACGGTTATTGTACGTATGAAAGAAAATTTACACTAAGTGATTGGTCACCAATACTATTTTTCAAAAATGTTTTTAAAAGGGATCTGAAATGTTTCTAAAGTGTTTAGGATGAAAGTTTAAGGCATATGGGATTTAACAATCATAATAGGTACCTATAAGCACTTTGGGCGGCGGGTGGGCTGTACGTATTCGCGGATTCTAACTCTTCGCGAACGGTTCTGGTCCCTAACGCTCGCGAATACGGGCGACTCGCTGTAGATTAGACTTGTAAGCCAACGAAATACACAATTCACTGAAAGCTTTAGTTAATACTTAAGCAAAGGACATATAATTAAGTTTTGAAAATTTGGACCTCACCTTTAGAAATACGAAACACAGATGTGTTCATCATCGAAGCCAGAGTTCACCAAACTTATATATATATATATATATATATATATATATATATATATATACTATTTACATTATTCGGACTGTTGTCCTCATCTTTGTTGCCATGTTTATCCTAACGATTCGGCCGTTGTACGCCCCGGCCTTCTTCAGGTGGTTGGAATGTCGAACCCTTTATTTCGCTCTCTGGGGTAGACTGTTCTAGTTCCACGTGCCATGTCTAATGGGCGTCATTTATTCCCCTCTACAAGTATATACCTGGTTAAGGCAGTGGAGAACTTGTAGAGTGGAATTAACAGGAGATAACTGATAACTGGCATCCATTAGACATGACATTAGACATAAAAATTCCAGTATGTACAAAAAGATCAAATGTCTGTCTTTTTTCCGTATTTCTTATAAAAACATAACGGATTGACTGCAAAACATTTTCCTTTCCGTTTTTATTGGCAGAAGTACACAAATACATGCTGGGATTTTTTTTCCTCGCCAATAAAGAAGTACTTCTGACTCGGTCCCGATCTGTCTCTTCTGACTCGGTCCCGATCTGTCTCTTCTGACTCGGTCCCGATCTGTCTCTTCTGACTCGGTCCCGATCTGTCTCTTCTGACTCGGTCCCGATCTGTCTCTTCTGACTCGGTCCCGATCTGTCTCTTCTGACTCGGTCCCGATCTGTCTCTTCTGACTCGGTCCCGATCTGTCTTGTCCTGATGTCAGAACGCTACGTCCGAATTTACTTTTGCGTGTCAACCGCAATTCTTAGTTTGTGAACCCTTTGCCTTATTACTGTTGATTTACCTTGCATATAGCGTTTGCTTGCCTTATATATATATATATATATATTTGCAATGTTCCTTTCTTTTCTTTTTCTTGTTATTGCAAACTTTGTCAATTCTGTTCGTTGGACAGTTCTGTCATTTGTTTTATATTTACCTATAGCTACTCATCTCACATACCCCAGGCAAGGCAATAAAGCCACTAGGGCGCTAGAGGTTACCGTTAGAGAATGAGAAAAAAAAACATTAAGGAGAGAGGACAATAAAAAAGTAAACACACCTGTCGGGGCCCATCCCTCTCCAGATCAAATCACAGTTGATGTCCTCTAACTTGAAACCTCGCCTTGGCCATGTTCTCGTGACCGCTGATTCCACCTAAGGAACCATCCTCCCTGACCGTTGACTTCCGTCTAGTGATTGTTCCATACAGTAATACCGGGTATCCATCGTACTGACTGCATATAAAGCTATGGAGGCGAGTCTGTCCTATTGTCCTAGATAGCCGCTGACCCCACAAAAAGGTCCATACGCCCTTTAACAGGCCTTTTTTGTGTCTAGCCACACTCATCACCAAATAAAAGACTGCATGTGAATAATGTAAATCGTCTTACTTTGTTAATTCATTTGCTATTTCCATGGACATCTAAGAATTTATTTATATAAAATCTATTTATATAAAGTCAAAGCAGCCTTCTCTCTCAGTTGTAAAAATGAGTCCGGAGTTTGAAAGTAATCTGCTTGTAATTTAAACTACTGATTATCTGGTATTAATTTTGACTCGATTCTCTATGAATAGCCTTTAAACAAAATAAATCAATCCATCATCCAGCAGCACTTGTAGATCGATTTGCCAGAAATATACTGCGTTAAAAGAAAAGGAGGTGTAATATCACAGAATTAACAATGCCAGAATTTAGGGAAAGCGCCCACTGCTGATAAGTCGAACGATTGACTGCAAATCGTTGACGTGATGAGAAAAAGAATTCTCTCCAAGAAAGGCAAGGCAGAACAAAACTGATTGGCAAAATAAATGAATTGTCATATTTTACGAGCGCAATGCTGGATCTCTCTTTCAATTGGCAATATTAGAAGCACACTTTGTGCACATCGGAGACCGGAATTTTATATGCATCATAAAATGGAAAGAAAGAAAGTTTGGGGGCTAACAAAAAAAGAAAAAAAGAAGGGAGATGCAATGAAATACGCAGCTGGAAAAGCCGGATTTTATGAAGGAAAATGATTGAAGAAAACCCGTGATTGGATCCAAGCAAGTGTACAAATATTCTTGCATTCTGTGGGGAAATATTCCTGGATTCTGAATTTGGCACAGAATGAATTTTTAAATAAGAAGATTGAAATTAGCAGTTTGTAGCACGAGTGCAAAAGCCATAACTTTACTGCAATTGCTAATCTTTATTAAATGTGCATGCACGTATATGTGTACTTATTAAACGAGCACATTTTATATTTGCGCATATGCAGTCTGTGTGATGAATATATATAGTTTATTCGTCCATTCAAACTTATCTTTGGTTTTTGATTGAAGTTAGGTAAAGGTTTTCACGGCCATATTTTATACAATGTAAGAGAAGTCTTAGAAGTTTATTCAAGGTTTATTTTGCAATCCGTTATTTAGTGCAGTAATTCTTAACATTAAGGGCTTTAAGTGAGAAAGACACTGATCCCATTATTGCTATAGAACAGGGGTGGCCAAACTTGCTTAATGTAATCACAATTCCAAACACTTCAAAAAGTTTGGCTCCTGAAAGAAATATTTACGCCTGACCGGTTGTATGTTGCATGCTCAAGAGTAAGAAATCTTAAGAATTTATTCTTCACTGTTAAAAAGGAAACAAATAAAGTATTTTCTTAAAAAATATTGTTTAACATGAAATCCTATAAAATTGAATTAAAGAAATTATTAAACCGCGGGGTAAGGTATTTGTTAAAGTTTTTTTTTTTTTTTTTTCAAATAAATCAGCTTATTCAAATTTCATCGATTGGTTTGCGAAAGTGAACGAAACGTAGAGTTTGTAAATCTCGACAAAAAATGTTAGCGATAAGGATTTCAACACACGTAGGTGTGGCGCATAACTTCCGGTTGAAAAAATATATTTTATTTGTTAATTTTCTTTTTTCCTTAAAAAAAAACCCAAAACAAACTAACCATGGTTTAATGATTAAAAAAAAAACAACTCCTCCTTTGTTTTTTCCTTCATCTAATCCCAATTATTTTTTACTTTTCCTTTTCCAACGTAAATTCGAACTTGTCGGTTAACTTTCTGCGAGCTGAACCTGCGTCCATTTAGAAGAAACTTTGGCAAATGCTAGAAACTTTATTCTGATTTTATTTATTTTAACGTTTCTTTTTCAACCTCCTTCTCCAATGCCTGTGATTTGGTGACCTTTAGCTGTCACTGTCAAGATTACAGTTATCAATCTCCATTTACTTTCAGTCATTCTAAAAACGAAATTAGACCCCATCGGCTACAAGATAGATATATTGGCAAAAGTTCTAACCACAGGAATATTTGTATTGTCTGTTTATTTTTTCACTGGTCTTATTTCTGTGTCGAGGTTAGAGAAACAGAGTATGGAAAATGTGACACTGAGATCCGAAGTACGCATTCCATAAGATCCATCTCCGAGTGTCTTCGTGTCGGCCTGTCCATCTCCGAGTGTGTTCACGTCGGCCTGTCCATCTCGGTCTGTTTAATATCTATCGAGAGAAACTCTTTAGGACGACACAGTGAACCAACTTTCTTAGCAGTGGACATAGCAATTGATTCAATATATATTCCATTTCATGTTAACCCGAGAAGGTGCCACGAGTCCTTCCAATGGGTGAGGGGTAGCATTGGCCATACTGTTAGAAAGCAGGAAGTATACTTTCAAACGATTAATATTCGCAAATACGTCCATTTCTGTGTGTATCTAGTCTGATTATCACTTAAGATGTTAAACTACCAGTCACGATGTAGTGTTAAATTCTGCGCCCAAACTGTTCATATCTATATTATATTTAAAACAAAAAATACTTTCGTCTTCTCTCTCAGCCTATGATATAAATTTTTCTTTGTGAGTATTAAAAGAAATGATGTTAAAAAAAATTGGACATAGCCTAATTCTGGAATAATCTGGATTCTTCAAGAAAAGGGGGGAAAATGATAATTGCATTTTGGCATCAAGTGAGATACCATTTTGCAGAATCAGGAATCATTGAAGACATTTCTTGGCAAAGGATCTCTTACTGTTTCTCTTTACTTCAATCTGATTTTCTGCCCAACAGAATCGACACAGGTTATATTTGTCCCTCTTGAGGCTTTATTTTTATTTATTTTTTTTTATATTCTTTCCATTTTTTTATCTTCTTTTGGCATCGTTACGTTCTGTCGGTTTCACACGATAAAAACAGGACTTCACAAGTTTGGTTATAGCGCGTGTTTTCCCTTGGCATTTTCTCCCTTCAGCGTCGAACCTCTTCCATTTCTGCGCGCAGAAATGAAGTCTGTCCGAAAGGTTTGAAGAAATTGAAGCAGAAAAAAATGGGGCCATCTCGAAGAAAGAAAAAAAAATGACAGAAAATGCCTCATGAACTTATTACCTGATGAGGGGTTTTCAGATACGTCTGAAATATCTAGCGAGAAACGAGAAATGAGAAATGCTTTGAATACATTAAATCAGTTCTTCTTTACCGGTGGTCATATGACCCCAAGGGGACCCTGTTGAATTTTATGCGGGCCACAGAAAAAAAATTGGGGGATTCACTGAAAGGGGCCACAGTGCTACAATCCTGTTGCCTTTTGTATTTTAGTTCTAATAAAATAATTATATACTGTATTTGGCGGCCTCTTGGACGCAGATTTTTTTTCAAAAACAAATTACCCTGCATCCAATACAGTAGTATCCCTGTATGAGAGGGACAGGAAGCCCATGAAAAAAATGGGGTTTCGCCCGGAATCAGTGCACGCATAGGAAGTGAACAAGCATGATATCAATAAAAAATATACCTGCAAAATTCACTCAGCAAATTAAGAAATGTATGGAATTGCACAATATTTTAATGCTTGTTTTGTCGAAATACCAGATTTTATAGAAATATTTGCTTTCTTTGACTGGCCTGTTAATGTTTGCTTTGTGCGTGTGTTTTTTTTTTTATATACAGATATTGGAATTTGCTTTTCTGCATGTATGGTATGGGACTTCATTTACTAGCAAGTACCATCTGTTTTTTTTTTCTATTTCCAACTGCACTAGTGTTCACTGATACCAGTCAATTTCTTGGTAGCTATTATGAATTTACTGTATGTGTAGATGTTGTTCCCTGAAAAACAACTAAAACAATTTTCGATAAATGCTTGATGAAAAGTACTAAAATTCTTCATTTCCCAAAAAATGTCCTGGTAATTAAACCTTACCTCACTTCTATTAAAAAAAAATACCAGTTGTATAATTTGTGTTAATACTGTAAGTGTATCCTCATGGTTAGTGAGAAGGTCTTATAAAGGTAAAGTTATTTTATTTTTATTTTTTGGTTGTGATGTGTGCATTTATTTCCCTAAATATTCCGTGCCAAAATCTGGGTGCGTCCAATCGGCCGGTAAATAAGCTAATTTAGATCTACCCGCTTGATTTCAGCATATCGTCCACACGTGCGGCTGAGCAGATGTAGTTTCCGAAAGAAAACAATTACGCACTATCCTCAAACGTATTCTAAAATATTTTTCTGCCTCCTCCCCAGGGAAGATAAAAGCGAACTCTAGCCTTGAAGAGGTCAAGATTTAATTAATGGATGAAAGTATAGTTAAAAGCATAGACTAAAAGTAAACTTTAGAAGTCAATGCTAAACAGGAAACAAGGGATAAACCTTTCTGTTCTAGAGACCGGGGAGAAGTGTGAACAGGGCGATAGGAAAGCTGATCTACTTACTCCTTGTTGAACTGCAATGCTATCATTCAGACTGGAAAATAGGATGACACATTGTTGTAACCTAGGAAAGATTACTGCATAGAATAATCAAACGAAGGTTGGTAATGAACGATAATACTTAGGACACGAACAACACGTATAAGATTTGCCAGCGGCGCGTAAAAGTAGTCAAATGAATCTCCAACTGCAGGATATCTACCAAGCGCTCCACACGGTCAAATATGGCACAAGGCCGAATTTAATGTGGGGTATCCGAGCCTGTACGCTCGGCCAAAATTTCCCCGTAGACCCCGTATAAAACGTGGTCGGGTAGCTGTTTCCCCGGTACGAGACTCTGCGCTTCGACATAGCTTGTTCTGAAACTCCTCTCTGCCCGCAGGCAAGGATCTGAAGACGCATCTCCAACCGCAGGATATCTACCAACCGCCCCACGCGATCAGATGTGGCACAAGGACAAATTTAATGTAGGGTATCCGAGCCCGTAGGCTCGGACAAAAATTCCCCGTAGACCCCATAAAAAACGGGGTCGGGTAACTGTCTACCACCCGAGACGAGACTCTGCTCTTCGGCATAGCCTCGTCTGGGTTCCTCTATGCCCGAAGGCAGAGAGTTCGACTAGCACAGCTGGAGAAGAATCTCCGACTGCAGACCAACATACAGTATTTACTACTGTATTTATAAGAATGGGGACATAAACATTATTGTCCGTAGGTATGCTACAACACACCTAATTATTCAGAATCCGCTTTAAAAGGAAAATTTTGAAATTTAACAGTTTCAGGGGAAATTTGAAGCTATATGAATTCACTTATGATTCTATCACTAAAATGGCTTTATTTTAATAACACTTTTAAAATAAACAGATTTTGTTGAAAAGTTCACTCATTTAAAAAAGTTATTCAAGAGAGGACTTCAAGGATTAATCACCCTGAAGCATAATCTTTATAGTTTTTATAGTAAATCCGCCACTGGTACGAAGTAATTACATTCCTTCCGCCATTTTCTGTTGCGTTTATGTCCCTGTCTTTATATCCGACCAGCTTCAAATTTGAAACGAAACATTGCATCACATACAATTTTTTTTTCTTGATATCGGAAGATTTATTTATTTATTTTTTGGAAAGGGCGTGGGATGAATGCGAGAAGGTTCTCAGAAGGAGTGTGGCTCAGAAAGTTAGTTGCCTTCGTGATGCGTAATCGAATCCTACAGACTGACAGGCAAGAATAGTCTGTTGTTTCGCCGGAAAGCAAGTCAATAACGCCTGTTCAAAAGGAGGACTCCCTCTCGAGGCAGAACTCAACTGGTACGGCAGTCTGAGAGACAGATGAACTGAAATACTTGTTTGATGTTGGTCACACATT